TTTACTTACTTGAGTTCTTTATTTCTTTGTATCAAGTTTCAGCACTAAAAAACTGACTTATTACTTACCATAAGCAACCAACATCAACAGGGCTTGTCTTAGTCCATCAGTCTACGGACAAATTTTATTCCTTAGCAGTTATTACCTATTATATATCACAAAGTTATAAAGTCAGGGTCTGCCAAGACAGCCATTGTGGACTCTCCCACCTCTGTTCCTGTAAGTTTACCTAATAAATCTCCTTGTATAATTATACATATATTTTCTATTGATCTCAATACTCTAGAGAACCCTCACCAATACAGATTTTAGTACCAAGAGTGGTTCTAGAGACACAGGATTTTAAGGATGAATTTCCCTAATCCATTTCAAGGTTCTTAGAGTTGGCTCTCTTATTTGATAAGACCTAAAGTTGTCATGAGCTCTCCTTCTGATAGAGAGTACTGATAGTCTATGGTGTGAACTATTTAAAGTAATACACAGCATAGATCCATTAGATTATCCTAATTCACCACTTATGAGATGCAAGGAATTTAGTAATTCTATACACAATGCTTTTGAACATTTTTGGAAGAGTAAGAAATATAATGTCGGCTGATTACTCTTAGCATCCATCTCTGGACAAAGTAACAAAGGAAAATAATGGGGTCAAAAACTCAAATTACAAGCTCCATACATACACAAATGATCTAAAGGCTTCTAAGGTATTTCCTGAAGGAAAATCTTCTTTCCTTTAGCCATAAACCTGAAGTAGTTGTAAATAACCAAACATAAGCCCTCATCATACAATTCACTAAATTATAGCACATGTTAAATGCTCAGCCATGAAGGGTATCTGTAGAAGTTGAGGGCACTGTTTGGAAAAGAATGGGATCCTGTAAATTGAGATGGAGATTTGAGGAAGAACTTGATGAGGCTGGAAACATTGAATTCCTAAATTTTGATGAGATTATCTTTACAGGGGAAGATATTTCCCCATTCCCATGGGCAGAGGCATCCAAGAATAGGACATGGCAGTTAAGAGTGCAGTGTCAACTTGACTGTCTTTGAAATTCACCCTGGGATTGGTGGAGCACACTTCTGGGTGTGTCTATGTAGGTCAGGGAGGTATGACCTTAGGGTCTATATCTGGTCCTTCGTCCCTTCTTTGTTGGCACTGTTCTCCCACTCTGGTACCCAGCTCACATGAAATAAGCATTTTTGTTTGCCCGTACCCTATCACCATGATGTTTCTGCATTAGCGCCAGCTGACCACATACTCAATTCCATGGAAACCATGAGCCAAATTACACCTCTCCCCCTTTAACTTCTGAAGTTTGGATATTGTGCCTCAGTGACAGAAAAGCTGACTAATACACCTGTTATCATGATTTCCCTGACAGGTGACATTTACATCATACTTACATTCTGGATATTGCATTAAGAGCTCTAAATGCACTATCCCATTGATCATCAGAATTCTATGACATGGGTACTGTTAGTTTTGTTACTTCACAGCTGAAGGAACTAATATTTAGATTGAAAAGTAGCTGAAGGTCACAGGTTAGTAAGATATAGAGCTGAGATGTGAACCCACCAGGCAGTTACACTCAAGATTCCATGTTCTCAAACATTATTCTTTATGGCCTTATATGCCACAGTGCTATGTTTTATATCTAAAATGTCCCCCAAAGCCACACATGCTCATAGGAGGGATTTGGGGAGGTGACTGGATTGTGCGTATGTGATACTGGATCATGGGTGTGTGGTACTGGATTACTCCAGTGATTGGTTTATAGTGGGGTGTGATGTTGGAAGGTGAAGCCTGGTTGGAGGAGGAAGGTCACTGAGGTTGTGGCCTGGAAGTTCATACCCTTCCTACTCCCTTGCTCCATCCTTGCTTCTCATCACCATGTTAAGAACTCTTCCTCCTCTGCCATGCCACACTGCTTAGAGTCAATGGACTATGGACTGAAACCTCTAAAAACTGTGAGCCTAAATAAACCTTTCCTTCTTTAACTTGTGGGTATCAAGTATTCTGTACCTATATAAGAAAGTAACTAAAACAGATTTTGGTACCAGAGAAGTCATTGCTGTGACCTAGCTATATGGTTCAGACACCTTTAGAACTGGCTCATTGGAAGAGTTTGTAAAGGTTTGGAGATGCTGGCTTAAGAAGCAGCCCTAGAAAGCTTTAAGTTGATCTTGATGGGATATTATGGTAAGAGCTTAGAAAACCAGAATGCTGACAGAAATGCAGCCAGTAAAGACAAGGTTTAGGAGGTTTTAGTTGGGAACAAGGGATATGTTGTCAGTTAGACTTCAGGCCATGTACGATATGCTCCAGCTGAAAACATGTCTGTGTTTTGCTCATGTCTGGAAACATTGTTAGAGACTAAAATTAAGAATGGTGGACTAATCTGGCAGAAGAAATTCCAAGGCAGTTTAATGTTGAGACAGTGGTGATGGCTACTATTGGGGGCTTTCAGCTAGCTTTTAGCTAGCTCTTGAGAATCAAGAGCACATGTGCAGCAGAATAATTTTAAATGTTTTGAGTTTGGCCAGAAAAGAAGTTCTGGTAAAGTTGGGGCCAGATAGAGCAGAAGAGAGCTTGGTTGCCGAAGAAATTAGCATTAAAATGAATCCATATACTTTGGACAAGGACAATAGAAAGGATAGCCTGAGGATATCACAGGAACCAGCAGGACCCCCACCCAGGCTCAAAATTACAAAAGTGAAAGACTTTGCTTTGAAAAGAGGGCCTCAGGGCATCATTTCCAGAATGGGGGCAGCCTAGCAGATTCAGGTTAACTTGCTCACCCATCTAGGCATTCAGAGGCCTCTGCAACTACCAGCAAGATGCAAAAAGGTTCAGCTACCTCTCCAGCTGGTGAAAGACATTGGCATCATCCACATGGTGCTGGTTTGCATGCATGCAGAATGCAAGAGTTGTGCTATCAGGAAGGCCATGGTTTCAGCAGAAGGCCTGGAAGGCCACGCAGTGTGCTCCTCACAGGGCAGTTTGTGAAGCTATGAGAGGGAAGCCTACAGTGTTATAGTGATCCTGGGATACTGGAAAAACAAGGAGTATGGGTCATCTGAGGAAAGCTTCAAGGGGTGAACAAAGCCAGCCCAAAAGAAAAGCAGTGAGAGCTGCAACCACCTGCGTTGAATACAGGCAGAGCCACACAAGTGGTTTAGAGTTCACATTTTGCCACAGATTGCCCTGGGTGCTGGACATGGAACTATGGGATTTAATGTTTACCCTGCTGAATCTTGGTCTTACTTTGGTTCCATTCCTTTCTGTCCTTCTATTTCTACCTTTTGGAATGGGAATGTTTATTCTGGGCCATTGTGTCTTTGAAGAGTTTAACTTTCTTTTCATTTTTACAGGGGCTCACAGCTAAGAGTTTACCTTAAATCTCAGGGGAGACTTTGGTCTTAGACTTTTCAGCAATGCTGAAACTGTTAGGACTTTGGCAACTTTTAGAAATAGACTAAATGCATTTTGCACCAAGAGATGCACATGAGTCTTTGGGGGGCCAGGGGCGGAATGTTATGGTTTGTATCTAAATGTACCTCAAAGTTTTATGTGCTCATAGGTGGGGCTTTTGGCGGATGACTGGTTTAGTGTGGGTGTGTGGTGCTAGATTAGTCTACTGATGGGTTTATAGTGGGGTGTGATGTTGGGAGGTAAAGCCTGGTTGGAGGAGGTAGGTCACTGAGGGTGTGTCCTGGAAGTATATATCCTTCCTACTCCCTCCTCTTCCCTTGAGGGCTCACTGCTTCTTGCTTGCTATGGCTCTATCATGTTACCCTTGGAGCCAGTCAACTATGGACTGAAACCTCTACAAACTGCGAGCCAAAATAAGCCTTTCCTCCTTTAAAGTGTACATGTTGGGTGCAGCTATGAGAAAGTAACTAAGACAATGGATACAGCAGAAGTCACTTAACTAATTCTCTATTGTCGCCAGTTTTCCACGATTCTATAAAAGACCATTCTTTTCTTTCTTTTTTTTTTTTTTTTTTTTTTTTTTTGGTTCTAGGAATAGAACTCAAGCCTCATGCATGCGAGGCAGGCGCTGTGCGGTTGAGCCACATCCCCAGCCCCTAAAAGGACATTCTTATACCAAAATTTTAATGTAAACATTTTTATTATAGCTTTAGATAAAAGTGGGATTACTAAATCAACTGGCATAAATATGTTAGTGGATTTTTACACAAACTAACGTTCAGAAAGTCTCCGCCAACTTACCATTGTAACATTACACCAGTGTGCTCATTTTAGTACAGAGTACAACTTTTCACTATTTCTTCTAGTTTTAGTAATAAAACAATTTAAAGGAAAGGCTGCTCTCTAAGACAGGAGTCAGCAAACTGCAGTCCCCAAGCTAATCTCAATGCTAGTTTGTATAAATGAAGATGCACAAGTATGCAGCCACACTTGTCCACTGGCCCATCATCCCTGGTTGCTTTTTTGTTACAACAGCAGAGGTAAGCAGTTCAGACATAAATACTATCTAGCCTTTTACAGATAAAAGTTTGCTGACTTCTGTTCTAGAGTATAATTACAGATAAGGACTAAGAAATGAAGACCAAAAGGAACTATAAAATATTTGGAAGGCATGCCCTTAGAGACCAGAGTCTTGAGTCCCCTCATCTCTACCACTGTGGCTTGGCAGGTTGTACAGTGGAATGGTGAGCAACATGAGCTTTAAGGTTAAAGATAACTGAGGCAGAGTTCAGCAAGTGTCATTCATCTGTTTTGTGAACTCAGAGATTTGAGTAATAAAAATGCCAACACATCATGGGGTCATTGTGAGTATTAAGAGAGAAGTATGTCAGTTGATCACCACAATGCCTTATACATAAAATGCATTCAATAAATGCAAGTCGTTATTGTATCACCTCAAACCAGCCCTCAAAATAAGAAACAAACTGCTTCCACTAGCTTGTAGGAAAAATGCTAATGAATGTACGTTAAACAATGCTACTTGTAATAGGTGTCATTTCAGACTTACCAAAACTAAAACGATGAAGAGGACAAACAGATGATGAGAAAGGATGTTGACCTCCATAATTTCTCATTAACTTTGGGCGATTCTTCCTGCCAGAGTTACTTTTCATATTGGTTCCTGTTTCTACTGATGTTTCTGTAAGTAAAAATGTTAAAAGAAACAAGCTCTCAACTGTAAATTCTTTATCCGGCAAGAACTGTTTTTTGGCTATGAGAGGGAAATACACATACAAGACAAAAGAGAAAAGTAAAAGTATTTGTTACCAGTACACCTACTCTCAAAGAATAGCTCAAGGGAGGTCTTCAGATGGGAAAATTATGATGATGTTAGGACTCCTGGAGCATCAAGAAAAAGGAAGAACAGAAATATGAATATGGAAAAACTAGATCATTCATATATTACTGGGAGAGGTGTAAAAATGAAATAGCTACAATGGAACAGTTTGTCAGTTTCTTTAAAAAAATATATCTGCAATTCCACATAACCTAGTAATTTCACTCTTGGGTACTTATCTTAGAAAAATAAAAGTCCATGCTAACATAAAATGCAGCATGAGTGCTCTTAGCAGCATTATATGTGACAACCCAAAGAAAAAAACAACTGAAATGTCCTTCAATGATGAATGGTCAAACAAACTGTGATAAATCTATTCCACAGACTACTACTTAGCAATAGAAAGGAAGAGCAGAAATATAGGTAAATAAAAAACTATCATGAATTTTCTAAATCATATGGAATTACTGAGACCAAAATAAAAACTCCATCTGAAACCTAAGCCAATGAAACTTAAAAGTGGGGAGGGCAAAGGGACTTAAGAAGAATCAAAATTTTAGAACTTTACTCCAAGCCAGGCATGGTGACACACACCTGGGAGGCTAAGGCAGGAGAATTATGAGTGCAAGGACAGCCTGAGCAACATAGCAAGTTGGAGTCCAGCCTGGACTAGTGAGACCTTATCTGAAAAACAAAGAAAGAAAAGAAAACCTTATTCCAAGTGGCAAAATGTTCATACCAACAGACTGTCATAAGTGATATATGTATATAATAATCTGGAACAACCACTGGGAAACCTATGCAAAATAATACTCTCAAAGTAATAAACAAATCAAAATGGAATACTAAAAACTACTCAACCTAAAGAAAGGCAAGAAAGAGAAATACAGTAATGACAAACAAAAGAAACAAAAACAAATGAAGCCAGATATGATGACATATGCCTGTAATTTCAGCATGCTGGGAATCTGAGGCAGGAGAATCACAAGTTTAAGCCCAACCTGGGCAATTTAGCAACTTACCAAGACCCTATCTCAAAAAGTAAAAAAAGACAAGGTCCTAAGTTCGACCCCCGGTATCACAAAAAAAAAAAAAAAAA